CCACACCCCGACCCGGATCGACCCCGAACTAGCACCCTGTGAGAGCTGGGCTTCAGTGAGCGCCACGCGCAGCGCCTCGGAGCCGGAGACCGAGGCCCGGTGCTTCCTCCCATCTCCTTCCATTCCTTCCCTCTTGCTCTCCCTCCCTCCTGCACTCCCTCCCCGGCGGCCGCGGCCTTTATTAGGGATTCCGCGGCTGTCGGTCCCGCCATCCATCCTGTCCGCCGGCAATTAGGCGGCCAGACAAAGAGCAGCTTCGGATGGATGAGGGTCCCGGCGGATCGGAAATGTGAAGGGTCAGCGCTGCCGCCCGCGGCGCACCCCGCTCCCCCTTCCGCATAATCACCGGCCGCCCGTCACTCAGCCGGCCGCCCGGGGAGCTCCCGGGCCCGGGCCGGGAGAGGGCGGGGTGCGGTTGCAGCCTAGGCGCGCAGGGCAGGGCGAGGGCGGACCTGCTGCAGGGGCTCCTCCCACAGGGCAGCGGAAAACTGCGGCCTGAGGCGTCTAGCAGAAGGGCGGGGGAGGCGGGGGAATTGTGGCCCCGGGCGCTCCCAGACGGGAAACTGGGGCTGGGGGCTTGGGGCCTCCCTGTGGGGAAGAGGGAACAAAAGCTGAGAAGATCGGAGGCCCGAGGTCCAGGGCGCCCCCTGCTGGGAAGCTGGGGACCAAGCCCTAGGGGTCCAGCAGGTACAGATGGAACCAGGCCCAGGGCGACCCCTCCTATGGACACCAAGGTTTCTAGCCTGGGGCGCCTCCTACCGACTTAGAATGACACTGCGCTTTCATACCCGCTCTGTTCAGTGAAATCCAACCCATCCGCATCCACTCAAGAGAGGCTCCAAATCCTGGCGAACCCGAGGGGAGCCGAGAGTGAGTCCAACGAGTCCAGGTTTTACTGCAGATTCTTTGGCGCTAGCTCCCAGCTGACAAATCAACATCTCAATCTGACAATTAGTGGTCGAGATGGGGGGTGAGGGGCTCTCACAGCCCAGGCCGCTTAGCCCTCGGCGGGAGGCAGAGAGGTGGGCGGTCCTGGCAGTGATGAACGACTCCAGGGGGGCCCGGGGCCCCAAGCGCGCATTCATTACTCTACTGACAGGCGGGTGGCGGCCTGGCCGGGCGGGCTCCGAATGGATGTGCTGGGAAAGAGGCCGGTAGCAAGTGGGGGCTAAGGCAAGCGTTTAACAGTCCCACTGCTCCGTCTGCTTCTGGTCCTTCGCCTTGACCCTGGGACTTGACTTCCTTGAGCTTGGGCTCCCAGTTGTTGGAGCTGACCCTGGCTGGGACGCAAGGACGGGGACCTAAGTCCTCTACTGGGGTTAGGTGATTTAAGGTCTGAGATATCAAGGAAGGGTATTAGGCAGGTCTCAAGACTAGGCTCTTCGGCCTGACCTCTGAGAAATTGTGCGTGACTGTGCACTTAGAGATGATGTGTGTGACAGGGATTGATGAGTGTGGATCGCACGTGGGAGTCGGTGATTGTGTGTGTCAGTGCCAGGTATATGTCAGTATGATTTTGTCAGTGGAGGTGTAAGATTCCGGTCTGAGGATGAGCCACCACCTCTCCCTGTGTGTCTGTCTCCCCACTACCCCCCAGCTGGCTGTCAGCTCTGTCTCCAGTTGTGGAGGAAATGGCAGTGCGCACAGCGACAGCTGAGGTGTGCTGCTGGGTTGGGGGGTGGCGGTGGTGCTAGATGTTAACTGTGAGACTGCTGATCAGGACAGCTGCTCCCTTCCAGCACCTTCACCACTAACATCCCTACCCCAAGGGTCTTGAAAGTAGTGGATGGTTTTTTTGTTTGTTTGTTTGTTTGTTTGTTTTGCCAAAGTTTGGACACCTAGTTGCTGTGCCCTGGGGAAGAAAGTGATTACTGCCATAGTTCTCTAGCCCATGCCCCTACACATACACACACACCGTGTCCAATATAAGACATGATCTCCAACCCTTGTGGCCTCCCTAGGCTGGTGGTGGCCAGAGAGGAGTTGGTAGATGTTGAGCAGACACCTGTGTGATGCTCAAGAAGAGAGGGGCCGACCTTCAGACCTCCAAGGCAGGCTACCTCTTTGGAGCCTGTACTAGCGGCCTCTGCGACCCTAACCTTTTGGGTCTCAGGTCCAAGTTAGTTAGTAGTTTACACCTTGGGAAGATAATACTAACTGCGCTCTAATTCTTCTCCCTAATAACTCTCTTCAGTTTGGCTTCATCTCCACTCTCATTCCTCATTCTCAAAAACACCAAGAAGTTGAACCTGGCCTCCTTCTCAGTCCTAAACCTCCTGGATCTACAGAGCAGAGAGCTGGGGTGACTCTGGATCTCTGGCTCCCTGTTTTGTTCAGCAAGACCCCTTCCCTTTGCCTTACTGTTCCTTGAGGCTAGGGTATCTCCTGGAACTTCTGTATCTTTATCTCTATACCATTCTCCTTCTCCTCTTCCTCCTCCTCCTCCTCCTCCTCCTCCTCCTCCTCCTCCTTCTTCAGAAGAAGTCTCACTCAGTCTCCCAGGCTGAAGTACAGTGGCACAATCTTGGCTCACTTCAACCTCTGTTCAAGAGGTTCTCCTGCCTCAGACTCCTGAGTAGCTGGGACTACAGATACCTGCCATTACACCCAGCTGTTTTTATTTATTTATTTATTTTTATTAGAGACAGGTTTTCACCATATTGGCCAGGCTGGTCTCGAACTCCTGACCTCAGGTGATTCACCCATCTTAGTCTCCCAAAGTGCTGGAATTACAGGCATGAGCCACTGCAACTGTCCTCTGTACCCTCCTTTGTGTCTGCATATTTCCAAATTTAGGAATCTTCCAAATTTGTCTTCCTACATTTTGGGGGCTCTCTCTTTGTTCCTCTTGGGGCTCTTCTCTCTAAGAATACAACAGCCCAGCAGAATACCCCATGAAGATTGGAGTAGAAGGAGAAGGAGGAGGGCTTTCTTCCCGCCCCCATCCAGACTCTATTGCTAACCCAAGGATGGTCACACCGTGTCAGGACTCGGCCACGCGCAGGTCACTTCACATTCTAGGCACAGACGCTTGGTCGATGCCCTGCTGTCCATTCCTCCTCCCAACCGCCCTCCTCCTGGCCCCCGCCCCCTCTGCCCGCCTGGAAAAGGCAAATTTGACATTTTTAAATCCCGAGCCTTAGAGGGATCGATGCGGCCCGGGGGCCCCGCCCGGGGTCGATATTCCTGATTGGGAAGCGGCCGCTGCGCGGAGCCCGCGTGTAAATCACCCGGGCTGGGGGAGGGGGCGTGGGGAGCCTACCACGTCTCAGGACAGCGAAGCCAGGAGGGGTCGGGACCCAGCGGGACCTGAGGGCGATGGAATGAGAGCGACAGGCCTTAGAGAACCGGAGAGATGCCCACTTAGGGCCTCCCCCTCCCCCGCTCAGCTCTGCAAACTCCCCCGGCCGGCTCTAGTCTCGCTTCAGCGGCCGCTACCCTTCGTTGCCCCTGGAGCCGCTGGGGAGGCCAGTGTCGGAGCTAGCCATGCGGCGGCTCCTCTCCGGCCGCTCCCGCGGGGCCGGGGCTTCGGCGGCTGCTGTCACGGAGCCGACAGGCCGGGCGGGCAGGGAAGGGGCGGGTGGCGGGGAAGAGGCGGCGGAGTGAGGCTGGCTCAGTGCGGCTGGCTCAGTGCTGGCACTCAGTGGGTGCGCAACATATATTTGCCAAACTGAGAGTCTGGGACACCAAGCAGCGCAGGGCAGGGGGTTGGAGGGCACAGGCGGCTAGGAGATGGCCCAGACAGGGTGAGAGCGGAAGCCTCACTCGCGGGGGAAGGCACTCAAGGTTGCTCTGGGGACCGCTGGGCTGGGAAAGACCACCTCAGCCCCCGCCGGGGAGAACCGGGCAATAAAGAACAAGACAGAATGGGGCAGGCAGGAAAGTTTGAGCCCCTCCTACAAGTGCCTCCTCCACCCCAGCCTCCTTGTCGCGCTCCGCTGGGGAAACCAAGGCAGCCGAGGCTGAGAAGGGCCAAGAAGGTTAAAAGCGGGGTCAGCGACGAGGCTGGGGCAGCAACCAGAATTCCCGCGTGGTTTCTGGATTCCCCAGCCCACGTGGGGCCCGTTTGCCGGTAAATGCACCACCGCGCCCCCCACCACAGCGCAGACCCTTTCCTCTCGCTACAGCTTGTCAGATCCCCCCACCTCCCACTCTGCGCCAGTTTATAGAACAACAATTTGGGGAAAACAATCCGGGCCGAGTGACGGCCCCGTAATTGTGACAAAGTGAGTGCGGGCAGCTGGAGAGAATGCTAGCGCGGGAGCGCTGCGGGGCGAGGAGGAGGCAGGGGCGCCTCCCCCGGCCCTGCCGCCCCCTACTTCTTATTCTGGTCACCTCCCATCCCTCTCCTTTACTCTTCTCCAATTCCTCTTCTCCCGGCCCCTCGCGCCTTCCTTCGCTTGTTCCTCCATCGGTCTTCCCTTTCCTCCCGGTAACAGCTCTTCTCCCGCTTCCCTCACCCCACTGCCCCTCCCCCGGTGCGCTTTTTCCTCGCTCACTTCTCCCCTCTCCTCCGCCCTCCACTCGTTTCTTCAGCTTTTCCTCGCACTCACGTTGCCCTTGGGCCCCTGGCTCTCCCCGGTCAATCAGCTTCTCTCCCTCCCCAGTCCTAGCTTCCAGAGATCGAGCCTTGAGCCCCATTCCGACCCCTACTCTCTGGGCCGCCAGCGCAGCCCTGCATTCTTGGGTTCCTTGGCCGGTAGAGCCGGTGCCGCGCTGCTGCCGGGTGCCCTGGCGGCCATCCCCTTCCCTCTCCCTTGTGTGGCTGCCGCCCCCACCCCACCCTCTGAGCCAGGAGATAGTTTGTTTGTCCAGCGGCGGCCGCCGCGGCCCGCGCTGTTTGCAAAGCTTAGAGCGCCGTCGCGCAGTGCGGGCCCAATTAAGTCTCATTCATTATTCAGCGCCCCAATCCGCCCCCGCCCCCACCAGTCTGAGGCGTCGCTTTGAGGCCCCTCCCAGCCTTAGCCCCTCAGTGAGTCCTAAGACGTTATACAGAAAGCAGCATTTCCTCTTTAGGGCGAGAAGAGGGCTGAGCGCGCCGGGGGTTTGAAGGGAAGCGCTCTGCCTACTGCAGGGAGGTGACACCGGCGAGGCCTAACGTTACCCACAAACCCCCGCAAGTCCAGACTGGGGGACCTTGGAGATCCACGAGATTTCCAGAGAAGGAAACTGAGGCCCAAGGAGCTGTATGACTTAACCAAGGTCACGAAGTAGAACCCGGGATTGGAGCCCGGGACGTTGAAATGAAGGTGTCTTGCATGGCAGCTCCGAGGCAGCGCAGAGGCGCGGGAAGGCAGACCACCCCCAGCCTCGGGCTGCGGCCTCGCCCTCCTAGTGGTGCCTCCCGCTCTCCATTCCTCTGCTCCCGTTTCTTCCTCTGGCCCTTGGCCCGCGGGACAGAGCAGCCCTGGATTGGGAGGCTCCTCCGGTCTCAGGCTCAGGTGCAGAAGCAAAGCCCCTAACTGGAAGGCCCAAAGGCGGGCCCGTGTGGAAGCTCTGCCGGGGGCTGAGGCCAGCCTGGGTTGGGGGGTCCCTCCTTGCAGTAGGCAGCCTGTCAGTGGATGTCTCCGCCTTAGGGAAATTGGAGGTGGAACCGTCTAGTCTTGAAGATCAACGGAGCGTGAAGAGAGGAGCTTGCAGCTTGAGGTGAGGGAGGAGTCACCTTTCTATTTATGGGGGTGGGAAGAGGCAATCAAGGGCATATTCTTGCATTTACGGGAGTTTATCCTTTTTTTTTTTTTTTTTTTAGCACTGCAGATAGGAGCGCGTCCCTTGCTCCCGCCAGGCAGCCCCTCAGTAGGGCGGCGCCGCCGTATGCTGCTGTGCCTCGGAATCCGCGCAAGGTGAGCCGCTCTTCTTCAGCGGCAGCGCCACCTGGCGGCCGTGGTGCCTTGGTATGGGAGGCACTGGGCCTGGACTGGGCGCTGAGCTCACGCGGGCTGCAGGCGTCTGCAGAGCCTTGCACCGAGTTTCCCCGCGACGGAGGGTGGGAGGAGTCCCCGGCGGGAAGGTGATCCCTAGGGGGCCGGGGAGGGGCCCTGGGGAGGAGCCTGGTCTGGGGACGCCCGACTTCCGTGACACAAAAGACAAAGTCCATTTGGATGGAAGTAGGAGTCGGGCGAGACAGGCCATTTTCACTCTGTAGTCAAAGGAAATGACTGGTCTGACGCGGTCTAGGAGCGGGGCACCCAGGTACGGACGCTCAGTTTGGGACTAGCGGGTGCTGGCTGGTGGTCGCTCCAAGTAGAGGGGACACTGGCAGGCACGCTTGGCGTCTGGTTTGATATAGTGAGGATTCGTCCAGCTGCTGTGGAGAGGCTTTCCAAGCTGGCCCCCCAAAAATGTGGGGTGCCAAGCCCTAGGTCAAACGTAGTTTTCCAGGATATTTTAATAGCGGGAATTCAGGACCCCTTTCAAGTTTGACCTGGGGGAAAATCTCATGGCCTGGAGAATTCAGAAGGCCGGAGCGAGGCTAAAGCTTGGGCCAAATGTGGGAGGGCAGCCAAAGTTGGAGTTAAGTCACGGGTGGGGCAGAGGCTTTCAAAATGTATGAGAACTTTGGAAAGGCATCCAATGGAGCCCTGCCCCTCCACACATCCCCCCATGAGTCATTTGGGGTCATTGGTCTCAGGGGAGGTCTGAAATTTAAACAGCTTCCTCCTCTAAGTCTAGAGTCACTGTGGTTGTAAAGAATGGGACTGAGGTGCTAGGCCACTGCGCCTGGCTTTTTTTTAAATTGAGACACAATTTTGCTCTTGTCGCCCAGGCTGGAGTGCAGTGGCACAATCTTGGCTTACTGCAACCTCCACCTCCTGGGTTCAAGCGATTCTCCTGCCTCAGCCTCCTGAGTAGCTGGAATTACAAGTGCCCACCACCATGCCTGATAATTTTTTGTATGCTTAGTAGAGATGGGGTTTCACCATGTTGGGCAGCCTGGTCTCCATCTCCTCCCCTCAAGTGATCCACCTGCCTTGGCCTTCTAAAGTGCTAGGATTGCAGGTGAGAGGCACTGCACCTGGCCTGGATGCTACTTTTATTAGAAGGAGAAATGGTTGCTGTGTTGGAGCCTGGACATCATCTTATGACCCTGCTTTTCCATCTCTTAGGGCCTAAGGACAACTCTGGGGCCATGACATCCATGATTCTCACAAAGGACCCTAAGATTTCTATGCTGTGAGCAACTGGACCTGTTCTGAGACCTTTGCCTTAGAGGATGGCCAAGGGGCTCCTGGTGACCTATGCCCTTTGGGCTGTGGGGGGCCCTGCTGGGCTCCACCACCTATACCTAGGAAGGGACAGCCATGCCCTGCTCTGGATGCTGACCCTGGGGGGCGGTGGGCTGGGCTGGCTTTTGGAGTTCTGGAAGCTCCCAAGCTTTGTAGCTCAGGCCAACAGAGCCCAGGGACAGAGGCAGAGCCCCCGAGGGGTGACACCCCCTCTAAGTCCCATTCGATTTGCCGCCCAGGTGATAGTTGGCATCTATTTTGGCCTTGTGGCACTGATTAGCCTTTCTTCCATGGTCAACTTCTATATCGTGGCCCTCCCACTGGCAGTTGGCTTAGGAGTCTTGCTGGTGGCTGCTGTTGGCAACCAGACCTCAGACTTTAAGAATACTCTTGGGGCAGCATTTCTCACTTCCCCTATCTTCTATGGCCGCCCCATAGCTATCCTGCCCATCAGTGTGGCCGCCAGCATTATAGCTCAGAAGCATCGCCGCTACAAAGCATCAGTGGCATCAGAGCCACTCAGTGTGAGGCTCTACCGGTTAGGCTTGGCTTACCTCGCTTTCACGGGCCCACTGGCATACAGTGCCCTCTGCAACACAGCTGCCACCCTCAACTATGTGGCAGAAACCTTTGGCTCCCTCTTGAACTGGTTCAACTTCTTCCCCCTTCTTGGCCACCTTATGGAGCTTTTCCTCCTTCTGCCTTACCGGATTTGGAGGCTGCTGATGGGGGATCCTGGCTTCAACAGCAGCTACTTCCAGGAGTGGGAGAAGCTCTATGAGTTTGTTCAGAGTTTTCAGGATGAGAAGCGTCAACTGGCTTATCAGGTAAGGCTTTCTTCCCCATCAGTCCTGTCTGGTGGCTCTGGTGGCCCTCATGTGGAAGGACTGTTCTCATGTCAGTTGGCCAGGCCCTGGAAGCATGCTCTGGCTTCTTTGGGTATCTGTGTGCAATGGGCAAAGGTTACAGAGGCTATAACAGTGAGTAGGAAAGCTATATGTGTATATTGTTTACTTTTTATTGAGGTACAACATATATAAAGTACACTAATTTTCTGTATACCCTGCTTAGATCAAGGTATGAAACATTTCCAGCACTAAGGAAATTTTTTTATTCCCCTTCTCAGCCTATACTCCCACCTTCAGAGCTCATCTCTGTTCTGACTTTTGTCACCATACATTAGTTTTGCTCATTCTTGAGCTCCAAATAGGCGGAACCATCCAATATGTGTTCTTTTGCATTTGACTCCCTCCTTCCCTCCCTTCCTTCCTTCCTTTCTTCATTCCTTCCTGACGGAGTCTTGCTCTATTGCCAGGCTGGAGGGCAGTGGCATGATCTTGGCTCACTGCAACCTGTGCCTCCCAGGTTCAAGTGATTTTCCTGCCTCTGCCTCCTGAGTAGCTGGGACTACAGGTGCACACCACCACCCCCAGCTAATTTTTGTATTTTTGTTAAAGACAGGGTTTCACCATGTTGGCCAGGATGGTCTTGAGCTCTTGGCCTCATGATCAATCTGCCTCAGCCTCCCAAAGTGCTGGGATTACAGGTGTGAGCCACCGTGCCTGGCCTTGTATTTGGCATCTTTCATCTTTCATTTAACATCATGTTTATGAGATTTATTCCTCTTGTTACTTGCAATTGTAAATTGTTTTCACTGTTGTAAAGTATCCCATTGTACGATTATACCACAGTTTATTTATCTACTCCACTGTGAATAAACATTTGGGTTGCTTCTGGTTTGGGGCTATTATAAATAAAGCTGCTATGAGCTTTCTTGTACATGTCTTTGGTGGATGTATATACATTTTATGTCTTTTGTTGGGAAATCTTGTCAGGGATATGAAAATCCAGGTTGGAAAATGGGCAGTTGTGACTAATGGCTCTTGCCATGAGATCTACTAGAGTTTGTTCATGTTTCAAAAGGCTGGTATTCTTTTTTCTAAAATAATTTTTTTCTTATTATTACTCTGTGATTCTAAGCCTAGCTGCTGGACCTTTCCCATGGGCAAGTAGAAGCCAATCTAGAGATATGATAGTCTGATTTAGCAAAGGTGCAAGGAGAGGCCCAGGTACTCTGACAACTTAGGAGATTCTGATTTGTCATCTTCTGTTTCCATAAGGTTTTGGGCCTCCCAGAAGGGGCAACAAATGAAGAAATACATCAGAGTTATCGGGAGCTAGTGAAGGTCTGGCACCCAGACCACAACCTGGACCAGACAGACGAGGCACAGAGGCACTTCCTGGAGATCCAGGCTGCATATGAAGTACTGAGTCAACCCAGGAAGCACAGGGGATCCTGGAGGTGAGAAGAAACTTCCCCCTGAGGATGGACTTCCTAGCAGAGCTTGGCAACTTGTCCCAAATCTAGCTTTGCCCACAAATGGCATCCCAACAGCATTAAAGAAACTGCTTGGTGGCTCATGCCTGTAATCCTGGCACTTTGGGAGGCTGAGGCGGGCAGATCACCTGAGGTCAGGAGTTCAAGACCAGCCTGACCAACATGGAGAAACCCTGTCTCTACTAAAATACAAAAAATTAGCCACGTGTGCTTGTGCACACCTGTAATCCCAGCTTCTGGGAAGGCTGAGACAGGAGAATGGCTTGAACCTGTTAGGTGGAGGTTGCAGTGAGCCAAGATCGTGCCATTGCAGTCCAGCCTGGGCAACAAGAGCGAAACTCCATCTCAAAAAAAGAAAAAGAAAGAAACTGCTTGCAGTGGAAAAAAAGAAAACCTTAAAGGAGTGAGAAAGATTGTAGTAGAAGAATGTGTTTATATTCTGAATTTCTGTAATCTTTGCTATTGTAATTTTTTCTTAAAACCAGAGACTCGGCCGGGCGCGGTGGCTCAAGCCTGTAATCCCAGCACTTTGGGAGGCCGAGGCGGGTGGATCACGAGGTCAAGAGATCGAGACCATCCTGGTCAACATGGTGAAACCCCGTCTCTACTAAAAATACAAAAAAAATTAGCTGGGCATAGTGGTGCGTGCCTGTAATCCCAGCTACTCAGGAGGCTGAGGCAGGAGAATTGCCTGAACCCAGGAGGCGGAGGTTGCGGTGAGCCGAGATCGCGCCATTGCACTCCAGCCTGGGTAACAAGAGCGAAACTCCGTCTCAAAAAAAAAAAAAAAAAAAAAAAAACCAGAGACTGAGAGGCATATTGTAAAACAATCAAGTATCTTTTAGAGTATGTATAACCATTAATTATCAATTAAAAAAATTAGAAAAAATACATCTTTTAGAGAACACACCGCTTTATCCCACCCACGTTGTATTGATATGTGATGGAGGAAGGTTATTTAACTATTTTTTTTTTGAGAGGGAGTCTTGCTTTGTCTCCCAGGCTGGAGTGCAGTGGCACCATTTCAGCTCACTGCAACCTCTGCCTCCTGGGGTCAAGCAATTCTCCTGCCTCAGCCTCCTAAGTAGCTGGGACTACAGGCATGCACCACCATGCCTGGCTAATCTTTTTTATTTTTCTTTCTTTCTTTTTTTTTTTTTTTTAATTTTCCCCGAAGCCCAAATCAATTTTCTTTTTCTTTTCTTTTTATTTATTTTTATTTTATTTTATTTATTTTAATCTTTTTTTGTATTTTTAGTAGAGACAGGATTTCACCATGTTAGCCAGGATGGTCTCAATCTCTTGACCTGGTAATCTGACCGCCTCTGCCTCCCAAAGTGCTGGAATTACAGGTGTGAGCCACCAAGACCAGCCTTTTTTTTTCAGACAGAGACCAGGATGGAATGCAGTGGCCCCATCTCAGCTCACTGCTACCTCTGCCTGCTGGGTTCAAGCAATTCTCATGCCTCAGCCTCTCGAGTAGCTGGGATTACAGGCATGTACCACTATGTCCAGCTAATTTTTTGTGTTTTTAGTAGAGATGGGATTTCACTATGCTGGCGAGGCTGGTCTGAAACTCCTGGCCTTAAGTGACCTGGCTCGGCCTCCCAAAGGGCTGGGATTACAGGGGTGAGCCACCATGGCCTACCTATAAAAAAGGTTTAAAAAATTTCGCCAATGAATTTACTTATATACCATAATTTCAAGATCCAATTAATTTTCACACCATTTTAACGTTGCCAAAAATTGACATACGTTTGCTTTGCCAGACACTTATAGTTTGTCAAATTATCACATGGAATTTTCATAGGCTATTAATAATTTTTAAATATAATATGTAGTACTACTTCTGTAAAACATAAATATATTCAAAATAATCTATAAGGAAAAAGAGACCAAGGAGTGATTAGGGTCCTTACTTGATATGGAAAATTATTTTACTGTTCTCAATGTTTTTTGTTTTTTTGTTTTGAGACAGAATCTTCTTCTGTTGCCAGGCTGCAATGCAGTGGTGCAACTTCAGCTCACTGTAACCTCTGCCTCTGGGGTTCAAGTGATTCTCCTGCCTCAGCCTTCCAAGTAGATGGGACTACAGGTGCACGCCACCACACCTAGCTAATTTTTTATTTTTAGTAGAGATAGGGTTTCACCATGTTGGCCAGGATGGTCTCATATCTTGACCTCGTGACCTGCCTGCCTTGGCCTCCCAAAGTGCTGAGACTACAGGCATCAGCCACGGCGCCTAGCTACTGTTCTCAAATTTTATTACGGGTTTTTGTTACAAAATATGGAAATATTTTAATTTACTGAAGTGGGAACTACTGATAAGCAGTTCTTATTTTTCCAGCATAAGCAATAAATATCTTTGACTAATATGCACTTTTGCTTTCTGTTTTTTGTTGAAGCTATATCCCAATTAAGTGATAAATAGGGCAAAACAGAAGACATGGTTTTACAATTTTTATTAATATTGTATCAGGCCAGGCATGGTGGTTCAGGCCTGGCATCCCAGCACTTTTCAAGGCTGAGGCGGGAAGATACCTGGGGTCAGAAGTTCAAGACCAGCTTGGGCAACCAGCAAGACCTCATCTCTAATAAAAAAATAAAACAAATAGCCAGACGCGGTGGCTAGTGCCTATAGTCCCAGCTACTTGAGAGTCTGAGGCTGGAGGATCGCTTGAGTCCAGGAGTTCTGGGCTGTAGGGCACTATGCTGATTGGGTGACCGCACTAAGTTCAGCATCAATGTGGTGACCTCCCAGGAGTAGGGGACCACCAGGTTGCCTAAGGAGGGGTGAACCGGCCCAGGTCAGAAACTGAGCAAGTCAAAACTCTGGTACTGATCAGTAGTGGGATCTCGACTGTGAATAGCCACTGCACTCCAGCCTGAGCAACATAGCGAGACTCTGCCTCTTAAAAAATAATAAAAATAAAAATAAAACAAACAAACACAAAATTAGCTGGGTGTGGTGGCACATGCGAGTAGTCCCAGCTAGTTGGAAGGCTGAGGTAGGTAGACTGCTTGATCATGGGAGGTTGAGGCTACAGTGAACTATAATGGCACCACTGCACTCTGCCCTGGGCAACACAGCAAGACCCTGCCTCAAACAATTGTATTTGATTGATAGTGTATCAGATTTCTTCTGAAAAAGGTTGTAACAATTTAGACTTTCACCAAGTGCAAGAAACTGGCCTTTTCTTTGTAACTGGCATGGAATGTTATGACTCTTTTAAACTTGTCAAGATGATGGTGAGAAATAACATCTAATTACTTTATTTGTTTATTTATTTATTTAGAGATGGGGTTTCACTATTTTGATCAGGCTGGTCTTGAACTCCTGACCCCAGGTGATCCACTCGCATCGGCCTCCCAAAGTTCTGGGATTACAGGCATGAGCCACCACACCTGGCCTCTAATTACTTTAATTTGCATTTCCCTAACACCTAATGAAGTTCAGCATCTCTTCAAATCTTTAGTGGGCATTTGCATTTTCTCCTCAGTGAATTGCTTCATCATATTCTCTATTTCTTTTTAAAGTGTGTTCCAATTTGTTTCTCTGAAATCTAGTTTGGTGGTATCCTTGCATGTTAGACACTTTAACCCTTTATAATATGTGTTGTAGATATTATTCCCTAGCCTATGACTTGTCTTTCATCCTTGAGCATGAGTTTTAGTGTCAGAAGAACCAACAGTAGGATTTGAATTAGGTTGCATTATTTTCTAGTTGTCCTATTTTTTTATTCTTTCAGCCTCTTAGAATCTTAGTTTCCTTTACAACTGAGATAATAGTATCCATTTTATTTAAAAATTTTTTTTTGGCTGGGTGTGGTGGCTCACACCTGTAATCCTAGCACTTTGTGAGGCCAAGGAGGGCAGATCACCTGAGGTCAGAAGTTTGATACCAGCATGGCCAACATGGTGAAACCCTGTCTCTACTAAAAATACAAAAATTAGCCAGGCGTGGTACCACTGCACTCCAGCCGGGGTGACAAAATGAGACTCCGTCTCAAAAAAAATTATTTAAAAAAATAAATTCATGTATTTATTTACTGAGACAGGGTCTTGCTCTGTTCCCCAGGCTGGAGTTTAGTGGAGTGATCATAGCTTGCTTTATCCTGGAACTCCTGGGCCCAAATGATCCTCCTGCTTCTTTTTCCCAAGTAGCTGGAACTACAGACAGGCACCATCCTGCCTGGCTTTTTGTTGTTGTTGTTGTTTATTTATTTGTTTTTATAGAGATGGGGTCTTGCCATGTGGCCCAAGCTGGTCTCTAACTCCTAGTTTAAACCAATCCTCCTGCTTTGGCCTACCAAAGTTCTGAGATTACAGATGTTAGCCAAGTATCTACTTTAAAAGGGTTGCTATGGCCGGTGTGGTGGCTCACACTTGTAATCTCAGCACTTTGGGAGGCTGAGCCTGATGGATCACCTGAGGTCAGAAGTTCCAGACCAGCCTGGCCAACATGGTGAAACCCTGCTCTACTAAAAATACAAAAATGAGCCAGGCTCATTTTCAGTGGGGCACATGCCTGTAGTCCCTGCTACTCTGGAGGCTGAGTGGGGAGAATTGCCTGAAGCCAGGAGGCAGAGGTTACAGTGAGCTGAGATTTTGCCACTGCACTCCAGCCTGGGCGACAGAGTGAGATATAGTCTCAAATAAATAAACAAACAAAATAAAAACAAATAAGTAAATGAAATGAAGTCTTAAAAAAAGTCTTAAAAAAAAGGAAGGGGCCGGGCGCGGTGGCTCAAGCCTGTAATCCCAGCACTTTGGGAGGCCGAGGCGGGTGGATCACGAGGTCGAGAGATCGAGACCATCCTGGTCAACATGGTGAAACCCCGTCTCTACTAAAAATACAAAAAACTAGCTGGGCGTGGTGGCGCGTGCCTGTAATCCCAGCTACTTAGGAGGCTGAGGCAGGAGAATTGCCTGAACCCAGGAGGCGGAGGTTGCGGTGAGCGGAGATCGTGCCATTGCACTCCAGCCTGGGTAACAAGAGCGAAACTCCGTCTCAAAAAAAAAAAAAAAAAAAAAAAAAGGAAGAAGTTAGGCCGGGCACGGTGGCTCATGCCTGTAATCCAAGCACTTTGGAGGCCGAAGCGGGCGGATCACCTGAGGTCGGGAGTTCAAGACTAGTCTGATCAACATGGTGAAACCCCGTCTATTAAAAAATAATAATAATAAAAAGTTTAAAAAGAAAGGAAAAAAAAGGAAGAAGTTTAGTAAATAGGAATCTAAGACATTAACAAGTGAGTCTTCCTTATTTTCTACCTTAGTCAATTTAATGAAATCCAGTGATTTCATATTCTCCCATTTACACAAATCAAAAATTCACAGATCATTTGAA